AATCAGTTTTTTTTTAAAAAAAAAAAGTCAATATTATTTGGGTTAGCCTTTCAAATATGATAATTCGATCATAAGCTTGGTGTAACTTAACCAAAGAAAACATGACTCTCATTTTCCAACCAATCCAATGTTAAAGGATGAAATTGTAAAAAAAAATGACGAAAGGCTCCAAAACAAAAAAAAAAGTAATCTAAAATTAATATTGAGGACCAAGTTAAAATAAAATAAAAATATGGGGGAAAACAACATAGATTGGTTGAAGGGTGAAATTAAAAAAAAATCAAATTTTTTTTTAAATTAAAACAAAAACTCAAAATCAGAAGAAAGATGATCAAATTTAAAACAAAAAAAGAGGTAAAATAACATTTCAATGTTAAAGGATAAAATTAAAAAAAAAAATTGATAAAAGACCCCCTAAAAAAATAAACAAGGGCTATATACTAAAAAAATAATAAGGGGGGAATAATTTTCATTGATTCAATAATAAAATTGAAAATATTTAAATATTTTACAAAAAAATCAAAATAAAAACCCAAAATCAGAAGAAAGATGATCAAATTTGAAACGAAAAAGTGGTAAAATAATATTTCAATATTAAATGATGAAATTAAAAAAAAATTAACAAAAAACTCGCTAAAAAAAGAATGAGGACTATATAAATGCTAAACAAAAATACAAGTGGGGGAATAATTGTTATTGATTCAATGGTGAAATTGAAAATATTCAAACATTTTACAAAAAAAATCAAAATAAAAACCTAAAATCAAAAGAAAAATAATTAAATCTAAAAAAAATAAAAGGAAAAAAAACATTTCAATCAAAGGTCAAATCAAAAACAAATTAAAAGTTTGCAAAAGGAATCAAGATGAAAATTATACAACTAAAAGAGGATTGCCTCGAATATCTAAAAAGAGGATTGTTTCAGATATCTAAAAAAAATGAATAAACAACATGAATATGTTTTGATGCAAAAAGAGAGAGAAAAAAATAAGAAAGCAAGAGTTATAGTAGTCAAATCATCGCATGCACAACTACACGTGCCACCTTATCTGAACGGGCATGCTATGAACATTCAAATACTACCACAATTGAAGAATTTTCACCTCTTAATGCTACCATATGCATCGGCTAAAACGTGATGAATGGTCTTAAAATCATTAAGCTTTTTAACCCATGTTTAAAAATTTTATTTTTTAGGGTTACCCATGTAAATTCATTGTATATTTATTTCTAAAATATTAATTACTCTTTTTAAACATATAAAATTACCCTCCATAATTACAAAATAAACATATTAAAAAGATGAATAAATCCTAAGGCCCAAGTTTAAAAAATATTTATTCAAGGGATTACAAAGTAAATTGATTATGCATTTTTAAACAAAAAGAAGAATTCACCCCTTTGATAAAGGTATATTTATTTTAATTTCAAGAGTATTGTAGTTATTATAATGTGCAATTAAAAAGAAAAAAACATATTTAACCTCAAAAATATTATAATGACTAATAGATCCTTGTGCAATTATATAGAAAAAAAATGATTTGTAAAAGTTAATGAGTTTTTATCCATCTCATTATATTATTATAACAAAAGCTAAATGATATAAGAAAATTATTATAAATCAAGAAATCTTTTACAGTGAATTATAATAGTAATCATGTCAAGCCAAGAGCTCATGCCAAACTCAAACACCATGAGTCTGACAACCACACTAAGCTTGAGTAGGAGGATTAGAGATAAGTAACACAAAGTTTGAAAAGCAAATTAGTGGGTAGAATAAAAAAATTTTGAGTATGTTGAATCAACATTTTATTGGAGGATAATAAATATATTCTTGCGTTATATACAAGAAAAGCTTATAAGAGTAATTTTTCTTTGTTCTTGATCAAAGTTTTTTAAAGTTGCAAGAGCACAGGCATGTATCTAGCAATTGGTATCAATATAGCAGAGTTTAGCTTAAATTATGCATCTATTTATTAAAATTTAGTAGTGTTTGGTAGAAATATTTGTTGTTTTTTTCTTATTAGTACGTTAGAATTTCACAAAAAATTATTGGTCCTCAAAAAAGCTATTACCTTTGTCTAGCTCACGAAATATATACAAATCTTATGCACTTAACCAAACCGCCTTGAGTCTAGTAACTATGATAGGCCTAACCACCTTGGATCTGGCAATCATGAAAACCTAACCATCTTGGATCAAGTATGGTTGTTAGACTTGAGCATCTTCTATTTGTCATGGTTTTCAGACTCGTGTTACTTGAGTCTCGTAAAGAATTAAGTGGAGGTTTAAAAATTAACTTACTTAGTTAGCTTTAATATCACTATTAAAAAAAATTATATTCTTAATATTTATTTTATATTTAAAAAAATAATATTGACTAACTGCGAAGCACAGACCAATATACTGGTTTGAAATTAATATGAATTTACCTCGTCCTCTACAATAACTCATAATTTATTTATATTCTTTAATAGTATTTTTCTTGACTGTGGTTTCTATTCTTTAATAGTGCTTATTTCACAAATAATATTTAGTTTTTATTTTAAAAAAAAAAATGTGTTTCATTTGAAAATGCATTGAATTTTTTAATATTTTTTGATAATTTTAATATATTGATGTTAAAAATTAAAAGCAAAATCTAAAAAAAAAATCATTTTCAAATGAAAAATGCTTTTAAAAACTATCATGCATCACAAATATCAAATACACAGTTAATTTGGTAGCTTTTCTATTTAATTGTTCAAATTCCAAAACTCTATTAGATCCAAAACTTTCTAAGAATCACTCTCTTTAACATCATACCTTAACATCATACCCTACACTGTTGGATGACTAGGGTATTTTGAACTTACTATTTAGTGTATTATAAGATTGCATTTTGGCTTCAAATTTATTTAGCAATCTTCCTTTTCTTTTCAATAATAGGTGCATCAGTTATATGTGGATAATAGGTGCATCAGTTATATGTGGAGGTAACGGCTGCATTATGTGAAGAACGTTTAATTTGGAGGGACGATGGTGTCCCTCTCATCCAAAATAGGGAAAACCCCAATGAAAACAGCTAACATAATCAAGTATGTTTCGCTTATAGGTAAGTTCTTGACTGAAACCTCGATACTCTCTCGACCAACCTATTTAAACAATCCTATGCCTTCGTAACATGTATTGCTTGGTAGCCATCAGCTCACCTAACAATCGATTTCCTATTCATTTGTAGGTTGTATCCTGTTGAAGAGGGTGACATACATGCGGATATTTTGACGACAGCATTATAGAGGATGTACTTTCTAGCTAAGGTTGTCTTTGACACCCTTGATTGCCTAGAAAATGATGTTGATTTCCTAGCATTTTCAAGCTTTGCTTAAAGCTTACATGGCTCATAAAAATCTATCTCTTCTGAATGCAACCAGCCACATGGTTTTGCTTTATGTGTATGATGTCAAATCCGATGTAAGGATGCACGTTCCAGCTCTTTCAATGGCTGAGAGTTTTTTGACACAGGGCAGTCTAGACGCTTGAGCTACATGGCCTTGGCTAACATCTTAAAAAGGCTCCTTAAAATAGATCTTTTTTGATAGCTCTCTCTTATTTATATGTATAGAATCTGCATGTGATTTGGAATGTTGAGCAATAACTCTGGCACCTGTATTTCTCAAGTTCATTTTAAAAAATAAAAAAAAAAAGGGGGGGGGGGGGAAGGTAACAGATGACTGGAAAAGCAGCTAGCAGCTGGCGTCTGGGTTGCTGCAGGGCAATTGGTATGCCATAAATGCATAAAGAATGGTGCCAGCAGTATAATTGTTTTGTCGACCACCATTTTCTAACACAGCAAGAGGGTAGGTATCTGATTATTAATGGAATGCCTCTAAGTTCATCTTGTTCATGGCTTTTTTGTTTTCTCAGGGTGAGAAAAAAAACTAAAAAATTAATTAAATTAAAAAAATCAAAAAAAAATATTTGGTTCAGTTTAATTTTGTAAATTTGAGACCGAAAAACCAAATAAAAAAAACTCATTAAAAAAATTATAAAAAACTTCAAAAAATAATATAATTTTTTATTTTTAATATAAAATAACTTAACTGAAACTAATTAGTTGAATTTCAGATTTTAATATAAAACACCAAACAAATCAAACTAATTGATTTGAAACAGTTTCCATTTGGTTTCGATTTTTTTATATTTTATAAAATTTCAATTTAATTATTTTTTTATATATAAAAAATAAACCAAATCAAACAAAAAATCATCAACCCACACTTTTTATGTCCATTCCACAGTTGCCCTCCACTTCTCTTTCTCACTGCATTGGTAACTTTTGATCAATGGCCATGGAGACACTGTTTTCTGACCTGTAACCAAGTTTTTGAGCTCCGTCCAACGATGTTTTTGAAATCTGTTGTGTAATTGTCACTTGTGCCTGACTGACTGAAGTTGACCAAGTACTAGCAACGAAAGCAACCAGCCAACTAGTAGTCATCCCTACCAATATGAGAAACGGCATGAGCTTTTTTCTTGGAATCACTCTTCTTTCACCCCCACTCGTGTACAGCAGAGACTGGTCGTTAACAGCTCAGAGCAGGATGAACGGCAGTTTTCTGGTCTCTTTTATCTCCCATGGCAAAAGTGCAAAAGAACCCTCGCATCTTCTGCCTTAAATCGTTTCCCAACAGGGACTGACAGGACAGTAAATGCACTCAACTATTATAGCAAACTTATGACGACTTGAAGAGCTTCACCTTTTCAATCTCGTAGGATGCACATGCCATATACTCATTGGATGAGATCAATGTCATGGCATAAACGCCAGCCACTGAATGCAAAAGGGTACACTTAATGTTGATCATTTGCTGCTCATCTCTCGTTCCCTTGAGTTTATGCTGACTTCGGTCTCGTGGTAAACAGAAAGGACACAGTGTACTTGGCTGAAGAGACGGAGAAAAAACCACAAAATAAATCTATTTTTATGATAATTTTATATTTATTTAAATTAAAAAAAAAAAAGTCACTTCCATCTCCGTATCCAGTATTTATGTTTAATTAACTCCATTTTAAGCTGGTGCTTTAATAAATCAGTCTATCAGAGGAATATGTTCTTAAAAAGAAAAAAGGTTTGATGGGTTTCAGCTACTACTCACAGAGCATTGATGGTTGGGCATGAGGTGTCACATTATCTGACTGGGCAAAAATATTTCTCATCACTTGCTAGACCCATAAATACCGCACACCACATTGAGTTTTCAATGCACCAACCATCAAAAAGAGATGGGCTCGTCTCCATTACTCTCTTTCCTTGTTCTCACTTCTCTGGTGTTCTTGTTCGTCACCCCTTCTTCAGAGTACGATGTTGCTCAGGAACCAGCACCTCCTGTTGCGTCCAGGAAAATCTCTCGCAATTCTGAGAAAGTTACAATGTCTTTATATTATGAATCTCTTTGTCCATATTGCAGCAGTTTCATTGTAGGTCCCCTAGCTCAGGTCCTGGAGACTGATCTCATGACCATTCTCAATCTCAGACTGGTTCCATGGGGAAATGCTATTCTAGACTCCAACAATACCATTGAGTGTCAGGTTGCAATTTCCATCTTCAGTATTGTTCTTTCTTTTTGTTTCTTGTTCTTTCCATTGATTGATCAATCACCTTTTACTTTGGTATTTTGCAGCATGGGGAAGATGAATGCTATCTGAACATCATACATGCTTGTGCCATCAACCTCTGGCCTGATTTGGTAAAACTTGCTCTCTCTGATAAACACTTAACTGTGGACAGAAATAAACATGGTGAAAAAACAAGCATTTATTGTAATTTAGATGACACAATTCAGCCACAGAATGAAATTGATCTTCAGTTAATTACCATGCAGAAGAAGCACTTTGATTTCATCAAGTGTATCGAAAAGCAATATAAAGCTCCTGATAGAAATGGAGCAGAAGAATCCTGGGAAGTATGTTCTCGTAAATTGAGACTGCCTACACAATCCATCAAGAAATGCTATGATAGTGGACAAGGAAAAGAGGTTTGGTTCATCCACTGATCACATTTTATTTGATTAAAAAAAAATAGATTTGCTATCCTGGAATTCAGACAAGCCTAAAGGTAGGCGATTCAAATTTTCAAGGTGTGGTGCACAGTTTTGGATGCAAAGTTACTTGCTATGGTTCTTGGCTTCTTTAAGCACTTTTTTCTGTCGTTCAACTTGTACAATGAAGCATACTGCATTCTAAGTTTAAATGCTAGAACTGATGTTTCATGTAAATAAACATGCAGCTTGTCCTGCAAAATGGCAAAGAAACAGATCATCTCAGACCGCCTCACAAATACGTGCCATGGGTGGTAGTAGATGATACACCTCTCCTTGATGTCAGTCACAACCCTTCTACGATCTCTATTCCCCTCTGAACAATATTTGTTCGTGTTTATTTATTTATATATTTATTTTTTTAATGCAGGACTATGAAAGTTTCATTCACTATGTTTGCATGGCATACAAAGGCAAGTCTTTGCCCAAGACTTGCAGTTCACATCCCAACACCTCAATTAACAAGGACACCTCACTCCAATCAGTCTGTCATGCAAGTGAAGAGAGGTCAGGTGACAGTTCAGGGAAGCACCAGATGAAGATGGAACCCCTTGCATGACTATTATAAATGCAACCTTTTATTATAGAATATAATAAGGGGAGTATGTACCTATGGCTTTCAATTTTCCAGGCATGGTTCTTGCACAAGGAACTCCCCAGGTGGATTCCTGTAGTTCATAAACCATAGGGTGATGTAATTAGTGGTTCTGCAAGCATGTAAACGAAAGGGAAAATGCGTTTAATAAAGTTCCACTCCATGTGATGTGATTTCGTAGCTTCCATCCAGAAAAATCATATCAACATTCTCCCTTTCTCCATTCTTTCGAGAAAAATATTAGCCTTTTTTGATAATGAATAGAATACCAGGGAAACAAGGTTTATAAACTATCACATTTCATTGCTGCAACAAAAGTGAACATCTAAACACTAGAATGCAATGCCTCACAAGAGCACCATCACATCTGAAGGGACGAAAGCCAAATACATTGAACAAAAGAAGACCACCTCCTACAAAACTAACTGTCCAAGTATATTACAGAAAGACGCATTAAAACCAAGTAGAAGCACACAAGCCAGCTGAAGATATCCAAACATCTATTGCTTATTTATCATCTCCCAGATGCCCTGACATATTTCAAATGAACTTATCTTTGTCGGATCAAATTCAAATTTCTCAACAGCCTTGTTATCTCTATGCACAATATCTATAACCAATATTAAGGACAGTCAACCTTCACGATTAGCAAACAGCATTGAACCTGAAAGAAAGACGCCCAATAGGAAGAAAGAATTTCAACACAACAAAAAACAAAAACAAAACAAAAAGAAATCCATGTGAGTCGATTGTAATATAAAGGATACGGCCAGAGATTTTGGAGTGATCATCCAAGTCTGGAATGATATTAGTCACAGATGCATACATTGAAAGCATCCTCCTGCAAGCACAAACAAAAATGGGAATCATTACTAGGTATCACACAGTCATCAACACCTCGTCTTTGCAATACTTAATAAAGAAACATATGCACAATATAAGATTCAATATTCACAACTGGGATTGAACACAAAGACTTTATAAAAAATAAACAATAGAAATCAATCTTCTGAATTACCAGTTAATCAAGCTACTACTAGCATACAATCATTTTCGGTACGCACAAAAAGATAACACAATCACAATTTTGTTTCCAAACAGTTCAAGTAACACATAGTAATCAATTCTTTCTTTCTATCTACCAGGTATGAAAAAATACTCACTGTGCTCTGAGCTCATCTTTCTCGTTTTTCTTCATATTCCGCTTTCGTTCCTCAAAAGAAACCCGTTGACACTCCAAATCACTAATCTCATTGTTGATCACTGTGTTTAAACAAACAAAACAAATAATCAATTCCCAGTACCACCAAAAAAATAATAACAAATAATTATCCAAAACAACTCAAGTAAAGTACTTATCTGAGCTCCTCCATAAGAGCAGCTTCTTTTTTAAGCTCCGCTTCCAATTCCTGCTCCAGAATCTCCATGTCGGCATCGGAAACAACTTCCGCTTTCGCCTTCTCCGTTTTCTTCTTGCATTCTTCTATCTTTTTCTCATAATCTGCTCCAAAGTGCTAAAACCAATCAGATCTATAACAAAAAATTACAAATAAAATTTAAAATTAGCAAACAGAGACCTTCAATTAGGGTTTTGGAGTCGTTGAATTCAGCATCGCAAGAGGATTTGAGAGAGTGTGACTGTTGAAGACAGTGAGTCAAGTTGTTAATGTCTCTTTGATCCTTCAAAACGGAAACGAGATCGTCGCTGAATGAGATTAGTTTCCCGACGTCGATTTTTCCAGAGAAATCCCCCATTTCTTTTTCTTTTTTTAGGGTTTCTGTTAGACACTGTGAAGTGTTCGAATTTTCGAAACTTGTTTTGTTGAAGAAAGCGGAAGGATAAGAGAGGGAAAAACTCCAGAAATTAATTGTTTGATTAAAAATTGGGAAACGATGTCGTTTCATGGGTCGCATTTGACCTTTTGTTAATGAATTAATTAAAGAATTTAGGTGAAAAAGATAACTGTAAATAAAGAACAAAAATATATTTTATGGATTTTTGGAAATCTTTTTATATAATTCTAAAATAAAATTTCATAAGTTGATGATACTAAGAGACAAAAAAGAATTCCTAGCAGAAAATTACCACCTTTTCTTTTAACATATTAAATTTAATTGAAGGAAATTATAAAACAATGAAGTAGTTTTAAAAAAGAAAGACTTCTTCAATTATTATAGATTTAATGTGATCTAATTATCCAAAATAACAAGAAAAATAAAAGAGGAAATTTTTAGTTTACTTAACTAGTAAAATTAGAGGAATTTATAACCCCGGGCTACTTTTTAACCTTAATAAAATTTATCATGCCATTAAAAACTATGTTTCTTTCTTTTAAATATTTTTATTAATCAATATTCTAAAAGTGTTTTTTTTCACTTTTTTTCTTTTTTTTACATGTTTTTTTCTTTTTTTTTTAACCAAAATTGACTTCTTCTTCTTTTTTAATTTTTTTTGTTTTTTTAAATAATCTTTATCAATTTTTTTAAATATTGAACTAGTTGAAAATTTAATTATGTAGTTTTTTAAAAACATTATGGATTATTATAATATTTCCTTATATAGTTTTTTATGATTTATTTCTTTTTTTGTTTTCAAAACGATTTTTATTGATTTTTTTTTATATTGAGCTGGTTGAAAATTTAGCTTCGTAATTTTTTTAAAAAAACACTATGGATTGCTACAATGTTTTCCCTACTTAGTTTTTATTTTGATGCAATGTTTCCCCACATGTTTTTTTTAATTATCTTTGTTGAATTTATTTTTTTAATATTAAGCTAGTTGAGAATTTAGTTTTAGCTTTCCCTATATGTTTTTAATTTTTTTTTTCAAATTTTTTATATGTTTATTTTTTTTAGAATTATTTTTGTTGATTTTATTTTTTACTATTGAACTAGTTAAGAATTTAGGTTTTTAGTTTTTTCTTTAAAACACTATAGATTGTTATAGTGTTTCCTCACATTATTTTTTTTAAATGATTTTTTTTTAAATTATCTTTATCGATTTTATTTTTTTATATTAAACTGATTGAGAATTTAGCTTTATAGTTCTTTAAAACACCATATATTGCTATAGTGTTTTTCCACATGATTTTTGTCTTGTTGTAATGTTTCCCTACATGTTTTTTTATTGATTTTCTTTCCAAAATTGTATTTATCGAATTTATTTTTTTCATACTGGGCGGATTAAAAATTTAACTTTATAGTTTTTTTTTTAAAACATTGTTAATTGACTTTTTTTTATTATGATTTCTTTTAAAATTATCTTTATCAATTTTATTATTTTTAATATTAAGCTGGTTGAAAATTATAACTGTAGATTTTCTCACGAAACACTATAGATTGTTATTGTGTTTCCCTGCATGTTTTTTTTCTTTCATTTTTTTTTATATTTTTTTAAAATTATCTTTGTTGATTTTATTTTTATAATATTAAGTTAGTTGAGAATTACAACTGTATATTTACTTACAAAACATTATATATTGCTACACTATTTTTCTAAATAATTTTAATATTGAACTGATTGAGAATTTAGCTTTAACTTTCTATACATGTATTTTTTTATTATTTGCTTTTTGTCTTTTTTTTTAAATTGTCTTCTTTTTTATTTTTTTAATTATTTTTATTTTTTTAATATTAAGTTAATTAAAAAATTAGTTTTATAATTTTTTTAAAAAATATTATGAATTATAATAATTTTTTATAATTATTTTATAAATTCACAACAACATGCAAATGTACCCATAAGCCGCGGCATGGCAAGCCATGGCATGCACTAATCATCCAAGGTTCGTGGGGAAGGAAGAGGTTGGCTCCCGCTCCTCTGTCGCTGCATAGAGTTCTAACCGAGCTAAGAGCTAATACAGGTCCGAAGAGGCGGTGCCAGCTAACAAATGCAGGCTTGATTCATTTTTTCGTGGCTTTTTATGCTAATCTCATTGAAAAGAACCCAATAAACTCCAAAACAATTTCTCTTCAAAATTAGATACTGCTTATGACATGGCTTGGATTTTTTTGAATAAACTCAATAGCCACATGCTTGGATGATTGATTATGATATGGAAGTCAAGCTAATAAAAAAAAAACATAAAATTAGAAGGAGAACTAAGAAAATAATTATTAAATCAACTAAGAAAACTGAAAATATTGCATCCTCCATTATCCATACCCTTTTTAAACAAAACAGAATTCTTCCCTGAGCTAGACAAACATTCTCTTCTACAGTTAGAAGTAATGAATCTATGCAACATGGAGTAATAAATTTATTATTTTTATATTTACTTGAAAAATAATTTTTAGTTTTTCTAGCTTCAATTTCTCCATGTAGACACTCTGACTAACGGAGTTGATTTCCACTCTAAAATCATCTCATTCCCCAGGTCTCCCCCGATCTTTACTCCATAAGAACTTTGCTTGTCTCCCACCATTTCTCTGGCTTCCTCCAGGTTCACTCTGCTCACCCTCCATCCTTCGAACCCATTTCCCAGCTCAAGATTGCAACCTTGCTTTATCTCCACCCATTTTTGGTACCAATCCTGGGAAGAGATGTAAGGTGCCACGAACAGACACTCCAATGCCATTCTTGCTTCTGTGAGATGAACTGGGAATTTGGACTCAATTGAATCGAGCAGGGCTTTGTAATGCAACAAATGCCCTTCGAAAAATGATCCAAAATCGAAACTGTTTTTCAAGTTTTCACAGGAATCACCGTCACCAAAAGTAATAAGGCCCCTGCTGCTGGAGTTGCAGAAGGCAGAATTGGCCAACAAGTCTTTGGCTACCCTTAGGAACTGTTCAACAAGCTGTCTGCTCCTTGCCCTTCCCATGTGTGGAAGCCGGAGCATGCTGTTGAAGACTAACCATTCTTTCCTACCACCTCTTTTATTTGCCTTCTTTTCCTCATTCGCCAAATCTTCAATTCCCATCTCCTCTACCTTCAAGTTTAGACCAAAGTATCTTGCATGATCAAGAAGTCTCCTTTTCGTCGCATCGAAACTCCATGCCATGGGAGCCCAATTGCAGTCATCATTTTTCCATTTTATTGCTGTCAATCTCACTGCCTTTTGTTGGTGTGCCAAGGCCTCAATCAATGGAGGCCATTGAATGCCTTCCCCAAGATCGAAGTCCACTATGTGTATTGTCTCTGCATCAGCTGGAATAGCTTCAAGGATTGCTGAATTGGCAGCAAAGTGAGCAAATCTTCCATATGGGAAAATTTGGTAGAATGCCCTGAAAGCTGCCTCAAAATTCCTGCAGGATTCTCGTTTTATATAATCCCCCTGCTTCTCAAGATCTTCGCATAGATTAAAGGCGAGACACTCCAAGGCTTCACCAGCTGGGCTAACTTTCTCACTTACACATCTCATGATCACATCTGCAAGCTCACTCTGTCCTCCATCCATGGCTTCTCCATAAGCCTTGAGTAAATGAAAGAGACTCGCTTGATTTTCAAGCTGTAGCTCTTCCCCTGGTAATTCAAGTGTTGACCGTGGAATTGGTGTGGTGTCCATGGATGCTTCACTTGATTTTATTGAAGGGCTAGGACTCCCAACATTTTCCCCTTCACTGGATAGCTCCTGTGAAGAAGAATTTCCCTCGCTCTCACAGAATATAAGCTCCATTTCCTTGATGAGATTAGGCTCAAAGCCCTCCATCAAAAAATCCTCAACGCAAGGTACCTGGACTTGGAAGTCATCAGAAGAAGCTGGGGATTGGACAGACTGATCACCATTGAAAACTGCAGGAAACATTGAGGAAATATCATAGATACCCTCATTGTTGGCAAACGAAGAAGAGAATTGACAGGCATCAACATACGCATCCATGTCAGTACCATAGAAACCAAGTTGGTCAAGATTAGCTGAGCTTATGACCCTGTAGAATGGCCATGAAGACTGGAAAACTTCTGGTTGCATCGTCTTTAATTTTGATGAAAGGTTTAATTAATTGCTAGGTAGAAAAGAAGAGTTAATTTGTAGTTGCTGCTTGTGATCATTTTTTAGCACAAGATTAGTGGGTATTTATACAAAGATTAGAGAACAATATAGAGACAGATTAGCATAATAGAATATGATAGCAGGAAATGAACATTAAATTAAAAAAAAAATGGTCTTGCCAATCATTCTCACAGGCTTTCTATAGAGTTTTATTCCTATCAAATTGCCAACCGAGCCTTCCTTTCTTTGTATTTGTAGCCTCTTGAAGACATATTATATTCTTCATGCATATCCATTTATTTAGATACTACTATTTTAATCCAAGAGATTAGGTTAATTAATAATTTAAATTTCGAAGTAATTACCTTACACTATAATTACTTTGTCTTGCACGTATGTGTATATATATAAACACTAATCTTTCCAATGGGGCAACATTTCCTAGCCTTTTCCTTAATTCTTCCCACCCAGATGTGTACGATATATTCTATTCTCTTGGAAGAAAGCAAGGTACGTAATGGAATAAATAATACAGAATATCCAAATCTTTGAATGGGGTTTATTCGTTGTTTGGGAGTATTGTATTGATTTTTTTTAGGAGTTTTTTTTTTAAATATTAAAATAATATTTTATTATATGTAAGTATTGGTTTTTTTATTTATGATTATATTTTTTATTTATTATTAAAAAAACATGTTAATAATATTTACATATTAAGTTTTTTATATAATAAAAAAATTACTTAATTTACAACAAACAAGTTAAACTGAGATATCAATACTTTATTTTTTATATTTATTAACACGTATGATTTTTAATATATTTAATTAAATTTATACATAAATTTTTTATTTATAAATAGAATTAAAAAAACACTTCTAAAAATTTTATATATTTATTTTTTATTAAAAAAATCTGACCCGCAGTCAAATATGGTTAAATAAGTACTAACTTACTATTGAATAATGGGAAGCAACAGGCCACATGGGGAAAGGTAATTTCGTACGATCCTTCAAACGCGTGCATGTGTATTGTTTTTAATGTTTATAAATTAAATTTCTTGGGGGTAATTTATTCAGACAAATTAGACCTCTTGCACGAGCCTTGGAGTCATCTAAATATTTTCCTACTAAGAAAAGACAAGCAAATATAATGTAAATTTCTTCTGGGGTCTGATATATATATATATATATATATATATATAAGCTACATTATTAATTAATTTGATGTGTTAATTTATTACGGGAATTTTTACATCTTCCTGTCTGTAAAAGGAAATATTTCTTCTCTGTTTTCTCACATATTTGAGAATGTCAAGTGCTTTCTAAATTACCCATACTTAAATATTAAAGAAGAAATTATGGTCCGTCAACTTTCTTTTTTTATATATAACAATTGATGATGTTAATGGCAAATAGTTACTAAGACAGGGAAGTAGTATTTTTACAACAAGATTAATTATCATTAAGAGTTTGCCCGTTCTAGCTCCGTCACGTTAACTCAAAAAAAGATTAGGTTAAAAAATATTTAAACTCAATCTTAATTAAAAAATAAATTAGTCAAGTCACGAGTTGATTGGTCAAATAATGTTTAATATCAGTATTTCTACATGAATTTATAAATATATATATAAAAAATTGTAAATTGATTAATATTGAAATTCATAATCATTGTTTAATTAAATGTTTTTATGAACACTTTATTTTTTATTTTGTCATTGATTATCTTTTTGTGTTAAAATATATTAAAATAATATAATTTATTTTTAAAAAATTAATTTTAAAATTAAAGCATTAAAATAATTTAAAATATATATAAAAAATAATTTTTAATAATAAAAAAACTAAACCGCGTTCCGCCTTAACATTTCAAAGGTGGACGCAACTTCATGTAAATTTCTCGTTGTTTTAAGCTTTTGTCTTTTCGTGCTCCCCATGTAATTGCGTTCTCACGACACATTTATTGGATAATCATTAAATTAAAATGAAAATCACATCTAAACACACAAAGATTTGCATGGCACTGGTCATTAATTACTTAATTTAGCTCTATAATTATATTTTCTTTATGGAATTCGTTACATCATCTCATTATTTTAATCACTTTGTAATGCGATATAATTGGCTAACTAACCCACCCTTAATTTACTTGAACAACTTTAAGCCCTCAAAGTGGCATAAAATATCAGAAATATTGAAAATAACCAAGGTTCTCCTGGCTAACTAAAATTTGCGTACCTAGTCCCAAAATAGCTTAATTTTTTTAAAAATTTTAATAACCATAATAATTTTAATAATTCTTGCATATCAAGATTAAATTATGTTTAAGTTGTGTTTTTTAGCACATTAATAGTTACCCAAGCAATGTTTTTTCTCTAAACCAATACCTCAAAGATCAAATGGTTGTCATGCATCATATAATTATGAAGATTGTGAATTGAGACCAAGCAAGTGCTCTTTAAAAATGTTTCACTCTAATTAAACCTCCCCCTTATTTTCTTAACAATTATTATAGTATTTTACATCTCCATTAATTTGAAAGGGAAAAACATAAATTCTTTTATATATACCATAATTGTTATACATGGCAAGAGATCTAGTTAAGAAAATAGCCTGAATTATAATATCATTAGGTTATTTACAATCTAATCGGTTATTCAAACTGAGTTAACTTAATTATAAATTAATTACTAAGTCTAAATTATAAATTAACTACTAAATCTAAATGTAGGTTAATTTCAAAATCAATTTAAATCACTTTCCGATCATACGTGGAGGATTTATTTATCCAGTGGACCAAGCAAATAACTATATAACTAATTATATATATATATATATATATATATATATATATATGAGGTCGTGCGTGCAAGAAGCTATGTAGTTGGGTGAGGAACGTCTCTGCCAAATAATTCTGTCATTTCTTTGACTTTATAGACCAATGAGAGGAGAATCCTTGTCATGAATAGTGCCATAATATGTAAATTAATAATTGCCGTGACTCTTTCCTTTCCTGCTGCCACTGCCACTGCCACCATACGGGATCTTTCCCTGTTGCTTTAAGTCGGACATGCTTCGTTTCCACACACAATGGATAAGCATGGACTTGCTAATTAATTTATTTATTTAGCAAATTAAACCATTCTTAATTTGATTGACCCATACCATTCCTTGAACGGTAATTATGATCGCGATCGATTAATTTTCAAGGAAAAAAAATTGTGGCAGTAAAAAAAAAAAAACATGTTTTCCAACACTTTATGTTTTAAAAATAAAAAAATTTAATTAAAAATAATTTACATATTTATTTTAGATTTTTATACCAGTCATTTCAACCAAACAATTTTCTTTACTACAGGACAGTAATTAATATCCATCCCATAATATACATATATATATATATATATAAGGATTTCCTTCCATGCTTTGTTTTAAATTAATTAATTAATTAATTAATTAATGAACTTAATCAAGCCATTATCATAATCCAATTAGCTGTTTTCGAACTAATTAATTGTGATTTCTTAGGATACGATGAAGATTGCAATCTCTTGGATAAACCAAAGTTTTATTTGTTGCATATACAGTGTATGTATTTTTATAATTTATACGTACCCCAAGAATTGTATTATACCGATTTCGATGTAGTTATAGCAATGTATCAATTACATCGTAACCTGCAAAAAGCTATTACCAGTACAAAGATTCTTAGTATACGGCAAGGGCTCCATCTTATCATATACATAGTGCCAGGAATTGTTTCTTCATATGATGACGTACGTAATTCACACATTGCTTTCTTGATCTTTTTTTTTATTGAGAATTTACACATTTCTGTATTGGCCTTTTGGAAAACATTTTTCTTAATCTTTTTGTATTCAGTGATGAGATATGTTTTACAATTACTTTTTATATTAATTGAAATTAAATTCTCACATTAAAGAGTCTTAAAAACACATCTTCTATCTATTTATTGCATTCTAAGAAAATAAATTATTGAAATTTCAGAATTTAAACTCAAAAATTAAAAAATTAAAGTAAATTTTATTAATTATTAAATCAACCGGCCAACCCTCCGGGATTCTTAATTTTTTTTATAGTCTATATTATAGCCCATTTGTTATTAAGGTAACAATTATTTTTAAAATATTTTTTATTTAAAAATATTATATTAAAATCATTTAAAAAATGAAATAAAAATAAAAATAAAAATATATATCTTTTTTCTTTCAAAAACATAAAAACTAATAGATTCTTAATCTAACTAGCTCTTTGTCTTTGACCTCGTAGCCCTGCAACACAAAATCATTGCAAATGTAATAAAACAACAAGAGAGAGATCATTGTTCATTAAGAAATCTGTACAGTTTAACAGTCTTGTTCTAATCGGACATGTTTTTGTCTTAGATATCCTATGATCTGCCATGGTTTTAGGAACAAAAATGACATGAGAATTAATCAATTAGTCAATGAATGAAGCAAGATCAAACATTAATTATAGAAATTAATCCCAACATGCATTACCAAAGATTTCATTATCTTAAATATTGGATTATGTGGACTACATTAAATATTGGATTCCATCATAATACAGATAATTTATAAATTAAAACATGGGGAATTCTTAAATATAAATTCATATTTAATTTCCAAGTTTGAATATAAAAAAAAAAGAAAAATAATGTAAATATATAAAAATAATTTATTTTATAAGTTGTCACGGTTGTTTTAAAATCTAGATGAATTTGGCATCTCAACCTAGAACATGGTCAATTTAGAGTATAGATGGTCAATTTAAGGTATAGATTAGCCTAGAATGAAAAAAAAAAACTTGAAAAAAATTAATTAATTTAGGGTCTAAACCAATCCGAGTTAAAAAATCTTGATCGACCCAATCAAAACTCAATCATTAATTTATTGATTTTATTTTAAAAAAAAAACATTTTATCAAGATTAGCCTTGAATTATATTTTAAAGCTATAGTTTCTGTTAAGTAGTTT